TTCCAGTAAAATCACATTACAGATCATATGATTTACTATGCCTCATGACTTGATTTTACTGGAAATGTTCCCATATGATATTTATGTTTTATTAACATTTGATAATTATGCAACATTATTTCAATAATGACGTTATGGTAAGGTTTAAATTATTTTTTTTCTTAAAAAAAAAAATTATATTATAAAGAAATTAATTATTGATCTAATTTTCGCAACATTTTTTTAAAAAAATTTTTCCATTTATTATTTCATGCAAATTTGTAAAATTATATTTTTTTTTGTTAGATTCTTACGAAATCATCCATCAAAATTTTATTTTTATTATGTAACTTTAACAAATTTTTCCTTTGAAGAAGTTGTATTTTTTTTGTGAGATTTTTATGAATTGCAATAATAAAATTAATCGCAATTTGATTTTTCAGTTTTATTACAACTGAATGTCCAGTTAAATCAGTTTTATTTTAAATTCGGTTTAAATTCAGGTCTCAAATTAAAAAAGTGTTTAAATCAGTTTATGAAAATAAAATTAGTTCTAACCTCTATGTTAAACATATAAATTATTTATTTATTTTATAAGTCTATAAATAAAATATTATATATAAATTTATTAGCTCTAAAATTTTACTTAATATGAAAAAAGCTAGCTTTTAAAATTTATATATAAAAATTGTAAAAAATGCAATTTTAAAAGCAAAATTTACACAAATTTTAATTGTATATTTATTGTATAAAATTAAATATTATATTTTACATGTATTTTTATTTGTTTTATAACTTTATATAATATACAAAAGCAGATTTTTATGTTAAATCTTAATTTTCATATAAAAATCATTTAAAACTCAACTTCAATTTTAATAATAAAACTTAGTGATTAATCTATTATACAATAATAGTTAAAAAAAATGACAATTTTTAAAATTGTAATAGTTATATAAATATTATACTAATTAAAACATACAATATATCATTTTAAAGCTAATAAGTAATAAATTTTATTTAAAAAAAATTTAAGGTATTTATTTATCATTTTTTTTTTTAATAATCCTGTTATATATATAATATCATAAATTAAATTTATAAAATCAATTAGAAGGCTTTTTTGTATTTTTATTTTTTATCTTTATTTAAAAAACTTTTAATTTACTAAATTTTTCTAACCCATATAACTTCACTTTTCTTTTAATAATTAAGCTAGTAGTTTTCAATAAGTTTTAGATCTAAATTATTAAAAGAACAATCCATGATCTTTAAAATATTATTTTTAAAAAAAAATTAGTAAAATATCAAATTACTTAATAAAATGATTAAAATGTTATCTTAATAAAGAACTTTTTTATTTAATCTCTAATTTATTTCAATTTTTTAAGTATTTAGTGATAGTTTTGTATTAATCTTTTATAAATGAGTATTTTTTAGTAGCATTGTATACTTCCTGCCTTCAGAAATGTAATCTTATTTAATGTTAAGATTTTTATATAAATAAAATCAATTTAAAGCTTAATAAATTAAAATTTTTATTAAGATATAGGAAAACTTTTACTTAAAAGTAATATCTTAATTATAAGGCTTTAATTTGCATTTTTATTATGATAAAAATTGAAGAAGTTGCAAACTGATAATCTAATATAGTAAAGTTGTTATTTTTTTTGACCACTGATGTATATACGTTTTAAAATTGAATATTATATGTAATTTTATTAGCTCTACAACTAAACTTAATAAGTAAAATATATTTAAAATGCTGATTTTGATTTTTAAACAGAGTGACTGTAAAAAATACAATTTTGATGACTGTTTTTAATGATTATAACATATATATTTAATATATAAATTCTATAATTAAATATTATATGTAATTTTATTGGCATAATATTATAAGGTAGATTTGGAATACCATTTTAGATTTTTATATAGGTAAACTGATATAGCAATGTAATATCTTAAAAAACTCCATTCTATAACTTTAAATCAAAGATAATTTAAAACTATTGCAGATATCATATTATAACCCTAATTATTAATAATAAAAAGATTTCATTATCTATGTATCAAAATAACAGATAGTTAACATCATTAAATTGTAATGTTTATATAACAGTAAATGTTAAAACAAATTTATATTTTTTTTTTACATGTAAATCTTTTTAGTTATTACTTTAAAATAAGTTATTTCAACATCTAAAGGTTAGAAATGATGATTTTTAGCTTGTTAAATTCGTCACGTCTCAGTGAATCAAATGAATTATTATATTAATTAAAATAATAGTTATAAAACTATAGTGACTGAAACACTTAATATATTATCTATTAATCTAATAATGAAAAATTAATGATTAATAGTTCATTGGATTCGTTTTAATATGACGAATCTAATGGATTTTATTTCATAAAATCGGAGCAGTATTAGCAAAGTTACATCAATTTAAAAATTGTACAGCAATACAAAAGACATATCCAGTGACCGCTAGTAGTCGATAGAAACCAAAAAGCAAATGATAAAAGCCATTTACAAAATTCATTAAGATATTAACTTCGCCTCTGTTTTTAAGCAGCAAAATTGAGGTTTTTTTTAATATAAATTTAGCTTTATATGTAATCTTCCGATGCCGACATATTCTCCGAGTTCGTAACTGACTTTTTTTTCTTGATGGGGGATCAAGAGGAAAGGAAAACATAAGTCGTCTTGGCTTTGTCAATATATGGCATATATGGCTCGATTTTTTTTGGAATTTTTTTTTTAGATTTTAATTTCAGATTAAGATTTATTTTACAAAAACTGAATGGTGATTCAAATGTGGGAATGTATCTTATCTTTTTCAAAAGGCTTGGCGGTACATTGCATTAAATATAAATTTATTATTTTATTTTAAATTCATGAGTGAATACAGTTTTTCATTAGGAAGCTAGGAGGCATGATGTTTAACTCGATCACTCAAATATAGCTATCATGATGTTAATAGCGAGAGAAATAAAATTATATTATAGTCTTAAGTAAAGGTAAGAAAATACTCATCGCCCGATCAGAAATGGAATCTAAAAGAATAAAAAGTTGTGTGTAAGTATATAAGCAAGAAGTTAAGAACAAATGAAAACAAATATACAAAACGAAAATTAAAAATTTGTCGTGCAGCCGCCTAAAAAAAAATAATTAAATGAATTTGATCAATAATCAAAAAAAATACTCACCTATGCAAATTTAATCCATCCCGTTAAAAATTAACTAAAGAAAATAAAATAGTTTAATGAAAAAATAAACATAAATCTTATTAATTCATCTATGCATCTAAATTTAAAAAAAATTCGCCTAAAAAAAAAAAAAAAATTCTTTTTAAAGAATCAACCTAAATCGAATGAGCCTAAAGAAAATAAGAAGTTAAAATGATAATCTATTGAAAGTTACGCCCTAAGAGACTAAAGCGAAACCTAAAAAAAAGAAAATAATAAATACCAAATAAAGAAAAATAAATTAAAAATTACGTAACCTATACTCACAGAACGAAGAGAGAGGAACCTAAAGAAGAGGAGTAATTGAACCGAAGCTAAAAAAAAAAAATAAAATAAAATAAAATATTTGCGCGAGCTATTTGATCCAAAGAAGAAAATGAAAGGGAGTATATATTGTTTGTTTAATAGCTGCAGATAAATGTGTATCCGATCACGATATGCCAATTTTTTTTTTTAATAAAAAAATTTGAGTTTAATACTTCGTGCCTAATTGACATCTTGCCTCGGAGATCTTCGTTGCAACTATATCTCAAATTGAAACTCGTCATCAAATAGTCACTCAATATTTTGCACGATGGGAGTCGTACCTGGATCAGCTAGCTTATAAATCTTATAAATCTCAAGCACTAACCACAACGACAATACTCATAAGAAGTTATTTTTATTTAATTTTTGAAACTTTTAATTTGCATAATACACGTGATTAAATATCTTAAATTATTGATCCGATGAAAATTTTACTTTTTTTTTGCTTTTTTCACTTGATATTTATTTTTTTAAAAATATATTCAAATCAAGGCAATATTATATATAACAAGAGCAGTAATTTTACTAGCTTTTAATACTTTGCTAGATTTGTAAATTCTTTAAAAAATAAATTTAAAGTTTTTTATTTTAATCATTTTCATTAATATTCAACACATGGTAGCAATAGTCAAAAAAAAAAATGAATGTTATAACGATGTCTCGTTAAATTTTGTTTTTTTATCAATTTCCAACCTTGCTTTAAGATCTATTTGTGATAAGCTAAACTTTTTATAGTATATATAGTTTTTTTATAGAAAGTTTTAGTTGAAAGTAGCACAGATGCTTTTTCTTATACCTTTTTCTTTCGTTTTCGCTCACGTTTGTCATTTTTTGTTATCTTTACCTTAAGCGATTACCAAATTATATTTAGGATCAGGGGTATTAGTCAAGTTAAAAGAATGTCATAATGAATTCTTTTTAAATAGATTTTGTCTGTGGCCGATATATAGTTGTAAATTATATTCAATATCTTTTAAGCTAAGAACTGCTAAATTTATTTCTTTATTTTTAGATGCGCCAAGTCAAGTAACAAAAACAGCAAAAAGTGTGATTGTGACTTTGACTGCAACAATAATGATGATACCGAATAAAATTTTAAATAGGTTCAGCTTACTTAGGGGATTTTATGGAAGATAATAAAAAAATTCATAACTTTCATGAATATTACTAAAATATTATAGTTTGAAAATTGTTATTTTTAAATGAATTATAACTAATACTTTACTTTTTTCAATTAGTTAATTAATCAAAATATCATTCACCCTTCTAACCTATTATAACATTATCATTCTTCAGATGGACGAACAGCAACGTTCTTTTAAGCTTCTGAGTGTAATATTCTCAGGTTTCTAAATATGTGATATTGAACCGTTAAACCAAAGAACGGTTGCTATATTGCTAAAGTAGACCACATGTGCGAGGAAACATGGAAGTTGCTTCTCAAAAATGGCAGTGAGTAAGATCCTTTATGTTAACACAAGAAACTTGTTACGTATCATGGTTAGTATTTGTATTTAAGTGACCCTTTAGATTTGTCTCACAATCAGGCGTTAGAGCGTATAGGATTGATCTTGTTGTTCATGGTTCTGGCTGAGCTAAGCGAATGGGAAACTTATAAAGAAATGGATTAAGAAATCTTTCATAAGTAGTTTCAGTCAATCATAAAGTGTAAATAGGAATATAAGCAACGAATTGTAAACTAAGGAGAAACGCTCTTAATAAGGATTATATGTGTGCATTTTTAGTTATAAATTGTTGAGAACCAGCATAACTACCTTTTGTATTCAAATATATTAGGACGTTTATACGAAAATAAAAAACGGAAAGGATTGATGAATTATTTCCTATACGTACGTGCTGTCTTTTCTCAACTTCATATGATACTGTGGCTAACTTGACTTGTTGTTTAACAAATTTATATATTGTACAGATTTTCGAATTAACCAACATGATCATGGATAATTAAACAAAACGTGAATCAGTCCTGGTAAAACCGGTCGTATAATCGTTAATATGATCCCCATCCTTTTCCGATGAACGGTTCATAAGTAAGCTTGTATGTGTTGCGATTAAAGTTGTGGGCATTACCCTCCCTTAGTTTTAAACGAAATCAATTTAATTAAATTCAAAAGCGTAACTTAGTGGTTTGACATTCACCAATTATTAAAATTCGTTTGTCCGAAACTATAATTTTGATAATAATTTAGAAAATTGAATAATCGATTATATAAAACCACACTTTTGATTTATAATTTTAGACTTAACCGATTCAAGACCGGTCTTAAGTCCAGTCACGAGAACGATCCAAGGACTACCTTTACGGCAATTTATTCGAATGTAGAGACTATGTATTAATAGAAATAGATGGGCTTTTATCAAATATTCTGATACCCGAATTTTATTATATTTATGGAATACTGTAAAAATTTGACATATGTACATGTATATGTGAATGTAATTGATTTTCATGAAGAATATTAGGCAAAAATTTTCTTCAAGTGCAATAATAGATCATATGATTTACTATGACTCATGACTTGATTTTTACTGGAAACGTTCCCATATAATAATAATCAACCCACCGGTTGTAATGCTGCAGGCAATCCTGCCTTCCTAGTTACAATCGCGGTGTCGGAAGTTTTTTGGGACCCACCAGCAGACTATTTACCTTTCGCAGCTACAAGTACCGCTGATAATTTATTTGATGAGATTCACTATATAATGTGTTTTACAGTTCATAGAAATTAGGATTTATGAAAGTGGCGTAATGTGATTTTACTGAAACGCTCCCATATTGTAATATTCCAAAGTCCCTCTATTATGTTAAAAAAGGCACTTTGAGTTTCTGATGGTTGATCACGAGAGAATTAATTATTACCTCCTGAACGAATATGCCTGGTAGTATTGCTACTGTTGTAACCGGTGGTCCTGCCGGTGGAAAAGCTACACATGATCATTGCTTGGCCTAATATAAAAAAAGAATGATAAGAAAAGAAACTATAAAATAACGAAGGAGTTAGCAAAACATACCATTATAGTCGATCATTTGATCCTTTCCTTTTCTCATAAAGCTTTAAACCTAGTACGTAGTTGCATCATCCATTTTCGCATTTTGTATTCCATAAACTAATTTTTTGGAATTCTGATGCCACCTCACAAAGTATTCGTCTATGGTAATTTAGCTGACATACTGCTATCTTTAATGTGAATGTGTTATCGGATGATCTTTGAATCATGATAATAACACTTTCAGTTTTTCCTATAGATTACAAAAGACCTGTATCGGAGATTTGATGAATACGCTGCCGTTGGGGACTCAAAAATAACCTTGGAGCAAAGCAATAACGGCTTCGTGAACTGGCATAACCATATCAACAATGTAAACGTTTTTGTTTTCCCAATATAATTTGTAACCAGTAGGATGTTATATTGTTAATAGCAGTTCTTTGGTGTTTATGGGTTATAAACGGAGATTTAAGGTAAGCAGAATGTATCGTGTTTATTGTTTTACTAATTAATAGTAATCTTAATTCTAATCTAATACAACATACATATCATATTGCCTGCAACGTCAGCGCTTTATACAATCAGATAAGGTTATTGATTATATCTTTTGGAGCTATTATAATAAAAATGTAAAAGGGAAATAATGGTGATGTTTTCGTGTTTAGGGAATTATCAGACTTTTCAAAGATTGAATGATTTGTAAATTATTGCGAATGTGAATTGTGTTAACTGTTGTAATTATTAAGCTTTATTAAAGAAAAATTCCGCCATTTATATGCATGAATTTTAACAGGACATTTTTGTTCAGGAAACTGATTTGGCCAGTGGGCAAATATGGCCAGATTTAATAAAATAATAAATACCCTTTCTCCTTCTTCGTAATAATATATACATTATTAATGTAACAATATTCTTTCACCGAAACGTTCTTCCCAATTTGAATTGATTGAGTGAAGCCTAACGAAACTTGCGTGATACAACAACACTTTTTTTCTTCTAAATTAAATTTTAGCAGTTCTGGATAATTATGGACCATTGCATCAAATTTATTTCGAATTTTCTTTACTTTTCTCACTGCTGATTTCCAACCAAAATTTGAAGTCGACATTGTTGAAGAGGGGCTTCGTGAGAAAAAAAATAATTATTATAATAAAAATTAATGACGAAAATGAAAGCAAAAAAAAAAAAAAAAACAAATTGCCGCCCGAAAGCCAAATTTACAAGGAAATTTTATTATAAACAGTGCTATTGACAGCGATGGTCATGTATAATTAATATATTGATGACAAGTTTCAATTTGAGATATAGTTGCAACGAGTGAGATCTTCGACGAGGCAAGATTTAAATTGGGCATGAAGTATTAAATAATTTAATTGAAATTCATGATATACGAAAAAACAATGATAATTGCCTCTTTTACTACACTAAATGTTATTATGCTGGATGGTTGCTTTTCGAAATCTTTCATATCGCCAAAGAAATATATTTTTAGCGAATATTATATCATCCAAATAGTTTTCAAATAATGTTTATTTACGATGAAAACTAGACTGTATATTATTGACAAAGAAAATAAATCTTTGAACAAGGTAAAGCAGTGCGGCTTATTAACAAAATTCATAATATTTATATTTTTTTTTTTTTGGATATTAATGTTTGACGTAAATATATTATTAATTTTATGGAAATTTATTTTGCAGAGCTTATATAAGATTAAGAATTATGATATCAAAACGAAATCTTTTTCTACTCTCTATACTACTCTACTTCCCACCCTTACCTCCTCTAATCCAAAAATATTTAGGTCAAGATACAGATATAAAGCATGATAAAAAAATTCTGTAAAGTCACCTTATGTATTACAAGCTATATCCCGACTCTCGTAATTTATTTTGTAAGATATTATATCAATTTTTCCTCAGAAAAATATTGTGGACAACACAATTGTGGAGATATCGTACCGTAACGTCGGTACGGTACTTTATATTATTGTACTGTACCGGTTTTCTATATACCCCGATTTTCTATATACCCTATATTAATAATCTCAATGACATTAATAGTAATAATTGATTTTGCATTCTATACTAGGATCGTCAAAACGTTTCTTAATAAAAAAAAAATTTTTTTTCAAAGAAAAATAAAATACCTTAATAAAAATTAAATAAATTGAATTGTTTGATTAGTACGGTACATAATGTATGACAGATCATATTATTTACTATGTCTCGTACCTCAATTTTAATAGCATACCGCATACATTATGAGTGATACGAAAAGGTGTGGAGTCAAATGAATGATGTACAGTCATGTGAAATGAGTTTACACAAATGTATAATTTGTGAAACTACTATTGTGTAATATACTGTATATGCAAAAGATCATTGTAATACCTAATAATTAATAATAAAGAGCAACAAAAAAATTTCTCGCATCAAAATACCATTTACTGAAACTTTCACATCTCTCCAAATAAACATGTCTACAAATACAAATTTTATTAATGAAAACGATATTATTTATGAAGAGGACCTTGAGGTAACTTGTTATTTTATATACATTATATTACATTTATAAGTAAAGTAAAATATACAATATTAAAAATAATTATATATTAACTAGCCAAATGAAACATCTTTACCTGAGCCGGAAGAGAATGCTGAAGTATATTTCATTACCAAAAATATAAGTGTTAAAATGATAATTCATTCATTGACTCCTATTGAATATTGTTACAAATAATTTAATTGTTCTATCGTGTTCTATTAGTTCCAGGGCATTGTGTCCCATTTCTGTTTAGTTTAAATTTAAGTT